AACAATGGAACAGATTAAAGAAAATGTGGAAGGAGCGAACGTGGTAGAGGCAAAACACCAAAAAAACACTCGTAATGGAGAGAAATGTGAAAGTCTGTCAGTAATGGTGAAATTAGAGGAGGAGAGACTGCTATCCAAAGTTTACATAGGGTACTTGAGATATGAGGTTAAATCCTATGTCCCTCTGCCATTGAGGTGCTTTAAATGCCAAGACAAACAAAGATGGGGAAGATTTGCCTGTGAACATGAGTATGGAAAGTGCGAAAAAGGAGCAACTGTGGAGGAGAGCATAGCTCAGCACACCGAGGCTGTGAGGCTAGTAAGAGAGCAGCAGAGGTGCAGCGACTCAAAGTTTCCCAAGGGATCACATACACCAAAGCAGCTAACAAGGTGGTACTGACACAAGGCAAATAGAACACTGAGATAAGCATTGCATTGTTTGTGTTGTTCATGGTCAATGTTATTAACTGCTCTGCACAAACGGACAGGAAGACGGAAAAGATCAAAATAATTGTTAAATCAGCACAAAAATATCTTGGGATCAAGGGACTAGGGTGGGAAATAGTTGAGGAAATGTTAAGCCCAGAGTCACAATCATGGGATGGTGGCTCATCATGGTTCTAATTCATCTGCAGAGGAATGCAAGAAGTCTCATTGCTAATGGTCAGGAATTTAAAAAGATAAACCCAATATTATATGTATTCAAGAAACATGGCTGAAATCGCAGTGGAATTTTGTAATACATGGCTACAGCAATTAGGAATGATAGAAAGGATAGGGAGGGTGGTGGGGTGGCAACATCTGTGCAGGATGAGACAAGATTTAATACTGTCAATATAGAGAAAGAACATGAATCAATACTGATCAAGATCCAGACAGGGAAATAGGAAATAACAATCATTTATTATTGTTATCCATGTAAAAGATTGTGTTTGGATACACTGAATACTATGGGTGGGAAATATATGGTAAAATGGTATGGTGTGGGGACTTTAAGGCACATAGCACATTGTGGGGCAGTAAAAAATAGATGTGAATGGTTTAGTCATTGCGGAATTCATAGAGGATAAATGCTTAGCATGTATGAATGATGGGAAGGGCACTAGGTATAATAGTACACAGAATACAGAAAGTGTAGTGGATCTGACATTGATTTCAAATGAAAGTTGAATATAACAACTTGGGAGGTGTTTAGTAAATCACCAGTGGGCAGTGATCATTATCCTATAAGAATTAAAGTGGGAATTGAAGTACAGCAAGAAGAGGAAGTGATGATACCAAGATGGAAAATGGAGAAAGCAAATTGGGACACCTTTCAAGCAATAAATAAAAGTAGGTGTGAGCACTTACTTAGAGAATTTATTTCAGATGTAGTAAAAAGAAGGAACATGGCATTTAGATGGTTAAAAAAACACCATTCATTAGAAAGATTAATTGAGTGTAAAATGTCACAGGCAGTTCGGAAGACTATAAGAACAACTAAACGGGCATATTGGAGGCAATATTGTAATAAAATAGGGAGAGAGACACATTTGGCTGATGTATGGGGAATTTTTAGAAGAATGAGTGGAATTAGGTTAGTGTTGATAAGTTACAACAAAACAGCTGTCAACAATATAGGAAACTTATCAGTAAAAGCTAGACAGTATAAGGATAACACACTTGCACTTTATCCAGTTGTTAATGTAAGGAAACCTACAACAAGAGAAAATTTAGATTTACCTTTCAGTTTGTTTGAGTTAAAGAGGGCTGTGTTAAATACAAGAATATCTTCTCCAGGGAAAGATGGCATCTGCTATAGTATGTTAGCTCATCTGGAAGATAGTGCGCTGCTTGCTATAAGGCTGTTTAATTTGGTTTGGGACACAGGGAAAAGTCCAATAGCATGGAAACGGTCAGTCATTGTGCCAATTTTGAAACCTGGTAAACACCCCTCAGACCCCTCAAACTATAGACCAATAGCTCTCACATCGCAATTAGGGAAAACAATGGAACGAATGATAACTGAGAGGTTAAACTATTTTCTAGAAAGCAGAGGCCGTCTTTCTTCTTTTCAAAGTGTTTTTCGTAAAGGGAGAAATACAATGGACCCTATATTATGGTTAGAGTCAGAAATTAGAAAAGACCAAACAAATCAGGAAATGGTGGTAGCTGTCTTTTTCGATGTAGAAAAAACATACGATATGTTGTGGAAAGAAGGACTGCTGATTGAATTAAATAAGTTAGGTGTGGGAGGGAAGTCATATAACTGGGTGCTTGTCTTCCTTGACTTCCTGGTAGGACAATAGAGGTAAGAGTAGGTAAAGAATTCTCAAGTAGAGAACGGAACCATGCAGGGCAGTGTTTGCAGTCCAGTGCTGTTTAATATCATGATTAATGATGTGAGATGATGTGAGAAAAGGATAGGCAAATTGCTGTATGTGGATGACAGGGCATAATGGATAAGGGGGTGGAATTTAAGATTGATACAAAAGAAAATGCAGACTGCAATTGAGACGGTGGAACAATGGGCAAATAAGTGGGCTTTTAAACCATCTGTAGCAAAAACGCAAGTGATATGTTTTTCCAAACATCATAAGACAATATCTTTGAAACTTTATGACCAAACACTAGAGCAGAGTCAGTTTGATTAGGTTTCTTGGAGTATTATTTGATGAGAAGTTGACCTGGAGGCAGCACATTGAAAAAGTAAAAGACAAATGTAAAAAAGTCAACAATATCTGTTCTTGCCTGTCAGGATGAGACTGGGGAGCAACCAGAGCATCATTGTTCAATATATACCAGGCCCTTATGAGAGTGACATTAGATTATGGGTGTGTAGCTTATATGTCTGCAGCAGAGAGTCATCTTAATAAGCTGGATGTGGAACAAGCTCAAGGGCTAAAAATATGTAGTGGAGCATTTAAAACATCTCCAGTCGCTGCCATGGAAATGGGAGAACAACTGTTAAGAATTTGAAGAGTGAAGCTAATGCTGGCATACTGGATTAGTTTAGAGGGGCATGGTAGCTCACACCCTACAAAGGCCATCTTGCAGGCCTGTTGGGAGCACAATGAAACTCATTTCAGAAGTGTTGAGTGGGTAGGACATAGTAAAGCTGAAAATGTAGGTTTAACCAACATACAGTACAGTCCAACAGTCCCTTCTTCAGCCATTCCTCCATGGTTATTTGTGACACCACTACTCGATTTACACATACAGCAGTAATTAAAGAGGAAACCCAAACAGGCATGTGCTGGGAGTATAGCACAAAAATACATTGAACAGCACTATCGTGATAAATTATTGGTATACACTGATGGGTCAAAAGATCCTGAGACTGGACACAGAGGAGCTGCAGTTTTCATTCCACAGTGCAAGGTTGCAATTAAGGAAAGAACCACAGATCATATATTAGTATATGCAGTTGAACTTGTTGCTATTCTGATAGTATTGAAATGGTTAGAGGAAAACAACAAAACAAATACATTAATTACATCTGATAGTTGGGTAGCACTCACAAACATAAAATCTGTGAAATCATGTAGATAAGATATTTTATTTGAAATTCACCATTTAATAAGGGTTTGACGGTTTGCTTTATTTGGGATCCTGCCCATGTAGGGGTAGAAGGAAACGAGGATGCTGACATACTGGCCAAACAATCACTTAAATTGCAAACAGTAAACATTAAAATCCTGTTAAGTAAAGCTGAAGGTAAAACAATCATAAAGAGTCAAATGCAAAAAATATGGCAAGAATATTGGGACACAAATGACACAGGAAGACATTTTATAGCATCCAGAATCACGTGGGTTTGGGAAGGAGGATGGGCAGGAACTGAAAGGAAGAGGCAGTCATTACTCGTCTCAGGATAGGACATACATCACATTACATCAGACACTACACAAAATCGGTAAACATTCAATTGGTAGATGTGCACATTGTGGACATTCAGAATTGGTTCTGAACCTACTCAGAGAAACATCAGGGAGAATGTATATTCATCTAATCATGTATCTCTCATGTATCATCTTTCTTTTAATTAATTAATTAATTTATTTATTTTTATTATTTTATTTTGCCATTCCAATTCTCCACACTCCTGTCCAGTTGGTGGCGGTAATGCGTCAGAAAGCTGGTTGCCAACCACAAATCAAATCAAAAGAAGAAGAAGAAGCTGAAGAATCTATAGCAGAGATGCTGGCAGTATTTTTGGCTTTGAAGTGGGTGGAGGAAAACAAACCATGGAAGACTATAATTTGCTCTGACTCTGTTTCAGTCCTTAGGAGCCTGAGATCCTTCAATTCTAGCCGTCAAGATATCCTATTCAAAGTGTTACAAGTACATTCCAGACTTCCAGCACATGTAGGTCTGAGGGGAAATGAGGAGGTGGACAGGCAAGCGAAACAAGCATTACATCGAGTCACCATAAATTTGCAAATCCCATTAAGTAAAGCAGAAGTCAAAGCAATAATTTGGAATAAAGTAACAGAGGAATGGCAAGGGAAGTGGAACACAGAAACAACGGGAAGATCTCTATACAGCTTAAACAGTAAATCAACAGTAAGAAATATCGGTAGTTCAAGAAGAGAGGAGGTCATATGAAACAGAATAAGGCTAGGTTATTCCAATTTAAACAGTACACTCAGAATTATAGGAAAACACCCAACTGGATTGTTTGAATATTATCAGGCAGAGGAAACAATAATACATGGAATTACACAATGTGATAGGTATGAGCTAGCGAGACTAGCTATAAAGGAAGAGCTCAGGAAGGTGGAGCTTTATGACTTCACACTCAAAACATTGATGAATTTACCTAATAGAGTAGGTAAAGTCTTCACTGAATTTCTTACATAGACAGGGTTATGGAATAGAATTTGAGCTCTGATCCACACTCCGGAGCAGAAGGTGGCGGTAATGCACCTGTTACGCTGGTTGCCAACCGCCGTAAGAACGAAGAAGAAGCAGCAGCAGCAGCAGCAGCAACAGCAGCAGCAGCAGCGACGTCATTGTGCCGTCAGTTTGCAAGATGGCGGTATTTGCGTGGCAACATTGATGTGAACAGAAGAATGACTGTTGGAGAGAAAAAGGTATCTGTTCCGTTCTTTTTTCCTCTGTCTACGTATGTGGATATTGTTATCACTTGAAGCTGGAGACAGTTTAACCGTGTAAATGTAGCAGCTTTCTTCCGGCTTATCGCTGTTAGTTGTATTAGCTTGTTAGCTTGGATATGTAATTCTAGGCTGCTGCTGTTTATGTTAGCCCTGTGCTAGATTAGCCTGGTAGTTGTTTGTGGGAACCAAACGGGGGTTTTTCTTCGCGTTTAGCCTTGTATTATCTTTGACAAAGCGAACACATTCGAACAACACAGTTGAACATTGTGTTGTTGTAATCGGTGAATTCATTGGTCACTGCTGATGTAGTGCAGTAAAACGAGGCAGATGCTCCGTTATTGGATAAGTGTTCTGAATAGGTTGGGCCACACATACATGTCTATGTACTGTATGAGTATGAATTGAGACACTCTTCAGATTTTCACAACAGCTCCGAAATCCGACTGACAGTGTAAGCAGCAGTGATATCATTTCTCTACTCGGTTACAAGATGCATTCGGATCATTAGAGCTAGGCTAGTGTATCTTAATGCAGGAAAACCTATGTGTGTGTGTGTGTGTGTGTGTGTGTGTGTGTGTCAGCCAATCAATAACAAGGAGCTGCAGTACAGACATGTCAAACTAGAGTGCTGAGAAGTCGATTTATCCACTCTAAAATATTTTTACATTATTTTACACAAATATTATACATGCATACTACTGGTCAAAACTAAAAGAGCCACTTCTTTTAGCAGTTTAAATCCAGTTAATAAATCGTATCCAGGTAAGAGGTAAACTGCCTGACGGTCACCAAAAACAGATTTTCTGCAGCAGTAAAAGTAAATCAAAGTTGATGTAAGCAATTCCTACAGGTGTTCCAACTTTCGTTAGTTACTTACAAACCGTCTGTCTGTACAAAGGCAGTGTTGGAACAAACTGAACCACAAACACTTAACAACCACTGATGCATTAATCAGTGCTCCAGACTGATCTTTTGCATTAGGTGCAATATATATCTTTGGATTAGATTCTATTTGTGGTGGTAGCTCACCACACTGTATTAAGCCACTGGTTTCCAACCTTTTTGTCGTTTTTTACATCTCACAAACAGCAGCATGTGAGTTGTTAACAGCTCCACTAATCAGTGATTTTCCCTCTAAACCTCTCACATGGTTTAATTTTAATAAGTGTTCAAATCTAATCTATTGAACCTAATGATGTCATGTACAATATTAAATCAGTCAGATGGACTGTTATATTTTAACAGAATTTTGCTCCTAATATGTATGTACTTGTACTTATGTTATGCGCAGAACTTATAATGGAGTATTTTGACATTGTTGTATATGTACTTTACTTTACTATATTAAAGGACATGGATGTGCGGCACTCCTAATGGCAGCGGAGCCTGAAGCTTCACAAATAACAAACCAAGCTCAACACTTATACACAGCAATTTGTTATTTTTCAACTTGAAATGTTCCCGAACCAAACCTCGCCTTGCTCTCTTCATGTTTACCTGCGATGCCAACGGCAGTACGCACGCTGGCAGCTGAGTATTCATTTTTCTCTGTTGAAAATTTAAATTGCACCTGGCTGGTTGCTGCAACATAGTGAAATTTATTGTGTTGCTTCAAGACACACTACAAAACACAACCTCGTTGATACACGCATTAGATAGATCAGATCCACGTGATTGAAAAAATTCTTAACGATCAATTATCGATCTTCAATTAATCATGCCCACCCCCAGTCCTCAGCAAATACACTGAAGTCTAATTAAATACGGTTTTAGTTTAGTTTGAATTCTTTTTTCAGTATATTTTTCAAAAAAAGGCAAAGTTCTAATGGAAGGTTCTACAATGGTTAATCTTCATTAAAGAGAACGCTGAGTTTTTCTCATGAAAAAAATGAACGAAACGTGTGTTGAGGCAGACAGAGGAAACCCTGTGGACGCTCTGTCTTGTCTGTAACTCATCAACACTGTGGTTGCTTCAGATAATGTTGCATTCTCTATTTCCTTTTGGCAGATTCATCTGACAACTCCAGTTTCTCCTCCTCAGTCCAGTTTCTCTTCCTGTTTCTCATATTTTCATCAAACTGTAAAAACACCATCCAGAAGGACGCTCGGGTTTCAGTCAAGATCTGAATAAGTAGGTATGGCGCTACCATGGCAACTTAACCATATTCCTGCTGCACTGTGGCAAATCAAGCAGGATTGTTCCCTCTTTTAGTAAAAGGTTGGAAGTGTATCTGGTCTTCAGGTAGAGAGGAAGATTCTTTTTGATGGTGAACCTGAAGACCAGCATGTCAGAATTGGTCCTGCTCAAATTTAAACTATGACTGAAAATACTTGAATCCAGAGTATGACTTGATGCTTCCTACACTCAAGCTCTGATGACTGATGCCACTGTTTCACCACAACAGTGGATCACAGTCTAGTGCTGCATCTTGTTGTCCAGTAAACTGCAGGAAGCCCAAAAATGCTGGTTGAAAGCTGTTGAATATCTCAAGAGGGGAAGATCCCCAGATTTAGTGTCAGTATTACACATGCTTTTTATGAACATTTGACATTTGATTTAAGCTGCTTTTGCACAGATGAAAAGAACCTGTACTGTCTGCACTACCTAACACAGTTAGTGTGAGTAACTCAGGATGTCCTGCAGTGTTTTACAGTAGCAGGCAACCTCTTCTGAAACACTGACAAAATATGACCACATTTCTCTAATTCTTGCCTCACTGCACTGGTTACCAGTGACATTCAGAATAGGTTTTAAAATTTTAAAGCTTGATTTTAAATCACTGTGTGGCCTGACCCCATCTTATATCATTGACCTTCTCACCCCCTATATCCCTGCTGGCTCTCCTAGATCAGCAGATCAGCTGTTGCTGTTGGCTCCAAGGGCAGGGCAGGAGACAGACGGTGGTAGGGCATTTGTAGTGGGGGCTCCTCAACTGTGGAGTAATCTTCCATTGAGAATTGGACAAGCTACCTCGGTGTCCTCTTTTAAAACTCTCTTTTTATAAAAAGGCTTTTAAGGCTTTTGTGTCTGTTTTATGCTTTTTTTAAGATTTTAATTTGATTGCCTTTTATCTCTAAATCAAGATTGCACCCCAATTTTTTTAATTTCTGTGAAGCACTTTGTAAAAAGTGCCATACAAATGAAGTTTGTTATTGTGCAGCATGGTAGGATTTGTTGCAGGGCTGTTGTATCAGACTGCATTAGCTAGGTGGACCCATAAACTGGCACATGAGTGTGAATTTCCAGTGTTGGGGACAGCCTTTATGATTCAGTACAGTCACTTCCAGCTGCAGTATTATTGTACAGTTAGTGGGGGCTCCTGGTCTGAGCAGTCTGTCTCTGTTTGATTTCAGAGCTGAAATCTGCTGACGAGGAGAGACACATTTCGAGGACGTTAACTTTGACCAATAAGGATTTGAAATGAGTTCTTCAGAAGAGGTGAGGTCTAATAAAAATTAACATTACCCACTAAGTTGTCATGACCATGACTTAAGCCCAGCCATCATACCGACCATCACACACAGAATTGCTTGTTGGGTCTCTGTTTTTTTTTTCTTGTGCAGATTCATGCAGTGTCCTACTTCCTGCCGCTGTTTCACATTAAAAGCCTAATATATAAAGGGAGAATCATGCCCTCTGAGCCCCGGGGGATGTTGTGGTTGTATAAAATGTTCTCTACACTGCCAGTCACTCACTTACACACTAAATGGGTGTGCTCCAGGGACATCCCTGGGAACCTGGGGTTGTCCAAATCTACAATTCATTAACCCTGCAAAGCCTGTCAAGCAGACTTCTTGTGGACTTCTACAACGTTATTTGGGGTGCACACTTGGGATCAACCAACGTTTTTTTCAGGGCAGATTCTGATACTGATTATAAGTAATCATGACCGATAACTGATATCTGGGATATGCCAGCACAAAATTACTGCTGTATAAGGACACCAAACGTGGCGTCCAGGAGTTTCTATTATTCTCTTCACCCCATTTATATCAATGAAAGTAGGCTAAATAATAGAATCACCTCTGTATAATGCAATACACACTACACCTTCCACAGTGATCATACAGTTAAATCAACAACAGTCTAAAACTATTTTAATAAAAACTGAACATTGTAATTGTCATGGAGGATTTACTGCAGGACTGTTGTATTTGACTACATCAGTTTTAGCTATATGTTCCTAATAAACTAACAACTGAGTGTGTATTAGTAATTATCATGTCTATGCACAGACTGAAAAAAGCCTGACTGAACTGATTCACCTGGTGATGTAAAGATGCTCATTAATTTAATAATTTTATCATATTTATTATTATCACCATACAACATGTTTTACCCCTATCCTTTTAAAATGTAACATGTTTACTCAGAGGCATTTTGACTAGAGCCGGACCGATTTATTCTTAGGCCGATTTTATCAGCCAATATTGGCCTATCAAAGATAAATCAGTGGCACGTATAGTCTCCAATATGTGCTGATATGAATACTTTTATTAAGAAGCAATAATGCAGGAAATGCTTGGGTCAAGTTATATAGGCAGCATTTCATGTATATTTGATCCTTTGTTTTCATTCAAGTTAAATATATATATATATATATATATATAGTAGTATATGTATATTCTCCTATGTTTTTTTATAGTTTTTTTTTTTTTTAGTGATAGATCAATTTAATTCCCAGTGAAGTTTACCGTTTCAGTGCGCTGATGTCATTTTGGACAATAAAGTTTATTGTTTATTGTTAAACTGTAAAATATCCTGCTTTCATTACATCCCTTTTTCGCAAGTGTTTATATATCGGCCAATATATGGATAGCAGAATTTTTTTACTCCCTAATAGCGGTATCGGAGTCGGCCCTATAAATCCAATGCTGGTCGGGCTCTAATTTTTACTGACTCACTTTGTACTTTTATCTAAGAACATGTTTACACAGTGATTTTACTTCTACTGCAGAAAAATGTCTTTTCAGTAACAGTAATTGTGCTGCAGTCAGTGTGGTGTCTCATCTCCAGTCTCTGGAGTTTCTGTTTACTGCTAGAGTTATTTCTACTCTGTCTGAACAGTTTATGTTGCTGTTTTCTTCATCACAGTGTCTAACTACCTGCTCTACATTTAAACTTACACTAGTTCTGCTGCAGCAACCAGAACTCTCTGTTCAGATCAGCTCGTTGCTTTAGCTTAGCAGTTGGCGCAAGCCTCTCTCTCTCGCTCCCTCTCTCCCTCTCTCCCTCCCCCTCCCTCCCTCTCTGGTGTTGTTGTAATTTTAGTGTAGAGGATTGTGATGTTTATTACATCTTCAGTGATTTCTGCTGTCTTACTTTAGACACATAGCTACGCTCATTAACCGGAGCTGCTCTAGTCTGTGAGCGGCTGTGTACACAGCAGCCTTCAGTGTGATAGGTTGTTACTCGTGACATATGACCAATCAGATGGTGCTGTGGGCGGGACACTGCTCGAGACCACAGAATGGAGACTACATATTAGAGACAGGCAGCTGCATCAGAGCGCATTTTTTAATTAATTTATTTTATAGGTTAAAAAAAAAAAAACGATTCTGACTTCAGTCTAAAAGAAAGCAAGAATTATAATAATAATGATGGTGTTCAGTGTTCTGCTGGTAACAATTCAGTGTGGTGGCCCACGACGCTAAAATCTTTGCCACCACGCAAAAATAATAATAATTTAAAAAAAAATAGAACAAAAAAACACTCACCTGTCTTCACGTTGTATGTTAATTTGTATGTTCCCCCTTCTCCAGTGGTCGCCAACTGGCAACCCGTGGGCCAAAACTGACCCGCCAGCAATAGTATCTGGCCCGCCACATTATTTTGATAATCAGATTTTTTTTCAAATCTTACAATATGGAACTCATTCTTACATTAAGCTATAACTGATGTCAAAATAGAGAATCCACCCCCACCTTGAGATGCTTATTATACATTTATGTTGAGAGTGAATGACAGACACAAACAGTCACATCAGGGATCACTGCCTGGTTCGACAATACATCTCCGTCATGGCAGCAACAGTTACCCACAGAATTAGTTCTTCTTTAGTGATTTTTGTCAACAACAACAAGACCCAAGAAAATTGTTTTTTTCCTGCGATTCTGTTCCTACTAACAACCCCCCATCATGTTGCCCCCACACCAAACCTCTTGATCCACAGGAAACACTGATGTTGTTGATAATGATGATGATGATGATGATGATAAAACCAGAACTATGGTCTACCCATAAAGGTGATATAGACCAAAAATCATACTGGTGTCCCCGAAGAAGGATTTTATGCTTGTGGTTCAGTAGTGTTTCAATTTTATAAACACTGAACATTGCTACTGAAATCTTTTCTTCAACACACCTTACCTAAAAATATGAGAAATATGATTCACTCCCCTGCCTTGTCTGCATCAGTCCAGCTGACCTGCAGACCAGCAGCCCTGCAGACCAGCAGACCAGCAGCCCTACACCTCACTCCTGTATCAGCCCACATTCATCTCATGTTTTACCTGTAAGACCATTTTAAATCCTTTGTCCATCATCAAAGGAAACTTCAGATTCCCACAAAGTCAGAGAAAGTAAAGTTTCTTGCTATCCAGAGCATCTTGCCTGCCAGGCTGCTGACAGCACCGTCAGCTGAACTATGTCACACTGGGCAGCCGGAGAGGAGACTGTACCATAGAAAATAGAAAATAGATGGTCAACACGTCCGAAATGACACATATTATCCGTGAAAACCAAATGTTAACTTATCAGAAAGCAGTTAAGGATTAGAGTTGAACTGCTATCTAGAAATAACAATAATCCCGAAGTTTTCTTTAAGATCATTAATGCTGTAATCAGCTATTCTTCCACCTCTTTTCCTGGACCTGATGTTGAGCTGTCTGATTGCTCATTTAGTTGATAATGTGGAGAATACCAGGTTCCAAACCCAGCCTGATCCTTTCATTCTTTTTACTCGGTTTCAACCCCTTTTCAGTTTCAGTGTTAGAGAGTATAGTCTCACACAAGAACTCCTCCCCTTGCATCCTGAAAACCATCCCCACTAAGATGCTCAAAGAAGTATTTTCCACTGTTAGCCCTGTTATTTTACACATTTTTAACAATCCACTGGCCTCAGGTTCTTGTCCACAGTTTTTAACATGCCATTATCCACCCTCTGTTGAAGAAACCTAATTTGAACCCCCTTTCTATTGACCAATCTCCAAACTTTCTTTTATCTAAGGTTCTAGAGAAAGTAATTTCATCTCAGTGGATATATTTTATAGACAATGATCGGGTTTGAACAGGTTCCAGTCTGGTTTCAGGGCACTTCACAGCACGTGTTAAAGCTGGAGTAGGTAATCTGTTTCAGAAACACTTTTTGTGATATTTCTTTAAATTCTCTTAATATCCTGATAGCAATGAACAAATGAAATGCTCTGACAATAAACAGAAAAATATCCGTCCTCTGTGTCATTCACAGGGCTGTAAAAACTCCAGCCAATCATTGCCTTCGGTCCTGATGCAATGATTGGCTGGCCGACCTATCTGTCAACCTCACTAGCATGCCTGCGCGTACTGCTGCATAACCGAGCTGCGTCAGACAAGCGGCAGTCGCGGGTGAAGAAGAAGCACAGGAATGGCAGAGAAAGTTCAACCAGTTCCACCTGAGGTTTTGACTTCAGCAGCAGCTTCGCTCGTCAAAGGAAGACGGTTGCAGAAAAAGCTGCAATGAAAATAAAATTGGACAGTGTATGAGGCAAAACAAGAATCAACATTGACAACTGAGGGAACAGAGGACCTAAAAAGATGTGATGCTATGATGGCTGTATTTCTGTTGGACAGGTAATTATCTTGTTTGTTTTGTTTTGGGAACGGGGGGGGGGGGGTTATATACTAACATAGCTAGCCACTTCATAAGCCGTTTCAGCTGTTTCATCATTAAGCAACGTATGTATTAGCCAAAGCTAACGTTAGGCAACACTGAGTGTAAGCAACGTCAGCTATGCTAATAGACAGTGAAGCTAACTTTATGATTACACGTAATGTTGCCTTGTATGTAATCTGTGTAGCCTACATGTTTCGCGATGTCTGCACTGTAGTTGTGAGTAGATGTGGTTTTACAGTATTTATCTTATGTCTTTAATGGCTGCGAATTGGACATCTGTGTTTTGTGTTATTTTTTTAGTTGTGAGAGACTCCTCTACTTCCACACCTTTAAAACGGATTGATGAGACCACCACCCCTTCTCCACCTCCACCATTTCATCAGAGTTTCTCCCCCACCGGTGAGTGCAACTTAATGTGATAGAAACGTAGCATAGCTCTTCAAACTTCTAAAAATCAGGTCGTTGGCAATGCCTTTACAAATGTACAAAGTTTTTAAGATGGTGTTATGAAAGTGTAATTGTTTAGACCACTGTTATTCATATAAATACATCTTTCTTTTGTGTG